TATTTGCTGGACCGTAAGTGTTGTGCAGAGAATCCAAAACTCTGCTGCCAGGCTTGTAACACGCACACGTTCTTGTGAACACATCACTCCAGTTCTTCCCAAATTATGTACATAATCTTGGTTTAACTTTTAAATGCATTCATGAATTGGCACCAATTTATCTGCAAGAACTAATCCATGAAAACAAACCCTCACGCAATCTACGGTCATCTTCACAATTAAACCTCGTGTCTACTTCGGTGTCAATTCCTCGCTATTTTTGCAAAGCTTCTGCTGAACTTTGGAACAAACTACCTTTCAATGTCAAAAACTGTCAAACTGTTAACCAATCCAAAACTTGTCTTAAGACACATTTATTCAAAATTGCTTTTGATTAGTAACTTACTCTGTTTACATTGATGTCTTTGTTTTTATATTGTAATTTGTAGGTTTATTTGCACTTTTTTTGTTTTGTTTAATATGTAATTGTTTATCAGTCTATTTTGAATGTTATAGCGCGTAGAGACTTCGGTGGTAAGCGCTTAATAAGCAACGTTTTTATTATTGTTGTTATTATTTATACATCGATGCTTGTGCGAGGGGTAGACCTAATAGGCATTCGACTTGTCATTAATTCCTGACACATAGAAAACACATGTATTTTTAAAAATTTTGTTCTATTATTTAAAAATTCTGAATTAGTTAAACATTAATCTGAAAATTGAAGTTCATGAGATATCCACTGAAGTGAAGAAATGGGGGCAAAACAAAAGTCACATTAAGTTTATTTTTTGTCTGTCTGTTTCGGTCTGTCTGTCTCTCTCACTCACTTAAACACACACACACACACACACACACACACGTTCTCACATCAGGGCCTTTGTGGGGCACCTGATTGTGGGGTATTTCTGTGCGTTCCAGATATACCTTGTGGTCCCCTACTAGTGGGGTATGTACCCGGGTAACCCACAAGGCAACTGAAGTGTAGGCCTGCCCCACAAGACAGTATCTGTTATGGCTTATCTCGAAGGGTTGCGTTGGGTTGTGGTGTGTGGTGTGGTGCGCTGCGGTGCGTTCAACACAGCCTTTCGAGGAAAGCCCCCCCCCCCCCCCCCCCCCCCCCCCCGCTTGTCTCGAAAGGTTGTGTTGAGTACGGAGTGGTGCGTTAAAGGTATTACAAAGTTTTGGGAAATTTTGAAAAATGGGTGGATAGTAATTCTTTACAATTTTGATATATTTGGATGCCCCTGTGGATGTATTAAAAACACCAGAAATTTTAGCCCCTAAAACACTTCTACTTTCGAGAAAAATTGAATATAAAGATTTACCGGTGCTCCCGGTAAATTTTGATAAATTTCAAATAGCTCCTACGGCCGTTCAATGGTAGCTGCGACCATGGAAATCTCAGAGTATGTAGTTGGGGTATAAAATTTCCGAACGAGAATAGCTAATCAGTCAATTTTAGTCAATAAACATTGTTTTATAGCTTAATTAATCTCTTGACCTTGAGAGGGAGCTATTCAACATAAAGAGTTTATTATTTACAATTTCATAACTTTAGAGTCGATTTCGACCGCGACAACGATCACTGAATATTGTAGGATCGTATATGCTTCCAATATGTTCATTTGAACCAAATTCATTCTCGAAAGGTTGTTTTAACTAGTCTTCCACATCAGTTGTGTCAAAATGATAAAAAATCAAAAAAATAATAATGAAAATGATATTTTAAGAAGAAAATAATAAGAACATAATCAATCTTGTAAAAATGAGAGATAATTATAATAATAATTAAAAAATAAAAAATAAATAAATAAAAAGAACGCAATCAATCCTGTAAAGTGTTAGATAATAATAATAATGATGATGATGATTATGATGATGATGATGTAATATTAACAAGAAAATAAGAACACAATCATGAAAAAATTATTAATGATAATGATAATAATAACAAGAAAATAACAAACAAATCAAATAATGATAAAAAAAAACATATATCATAACAAATACAATGAAAATAGTTTACTTAAATATTTCAAAAAGAGGATTATAAGTCAGGATATTAGGGTTTTGCCTATAGTTTTCTTGATTTTTTAAATTATTATTTGATTGTGTTCTTATTATTTTGTACTTATTTTATTATTATTATTATTATTATTATCATTGTTGTTGTTATTATTATGATCATCATCATCATAATTATGATTATTATTATCTATCATTTTTACACAATTGATTGTGTTCTAATGTTATTATTATTATTATTATTATTATCATAATTATTATTATTATTATCTATCATTTTTACACAATTGATTGTGTTCTTATTTTATTATTATAATTTTTATCATTATTATTATTATTGTTATTATTATTATTATTATTATTATTATTATTATTATCATATTATTATTATCATTTTTAAACGATTGATTGTGTTATTTTCTGTTTAACTATCATATTTATTATAATTTTTATGATTTTTTTTATCATTTTGACACGACTGATGTGGAAGACTAATTAACACAACCTTTCGAGAAAAGCCCCCCCTCCCCCCCCCCGCTTGTCTCGAAGGGTTGCGTTAACGCACCACTCCGTACTCAACACAACCTTTCGAGACAAGTGGGGGGGGGGGGGGGGGGCTTTCCTCGAAAGGTTGCGTTGAACGCACCGCAGCGCACCACACCACACCACAACCCAACGCAACCCTTCGAAATAAGCCATCTGTTATAAGGTAAGCCAGTGGCATAACAGGAGCCTGCTGTGGGGAGGGGGGGGGGGGGGGGGGGGGGGCAGAGCCAAAAATTTCCAGGTGATGGAGGACCAAAATTTTCTGCCAATCAAATGCAAAACAAAACAAATGAACAAAACAATCAAAACCAAAAAAGGGTCATTATAACAAATTGTCTCTTTATTTTTCTTCATTTTTCCCTTTCTCCCTCGTCTTTCTTCCTTTCTTTTCCCTTTTATTTTCCCAGTGGTTTGGCGATTTTTCCCGCTGAAATATTTGAGGGGCAGTTTGCCCCCTCCCTGCCCCCCCCCCCCCCTGTTATGCCACGGAGGTAAGCTGGCGTCATGCAGCTTATAAAGGAACTCATAGACGGCGGCGCCGTAGGCTATATCGGTCTATAACATTCCAAGCATATAATCCATGGCCCCAACAGTTTTTTCGTACCAAGTGTTAGGGGGGGGGGGGCGAGGAACTTGAAAATTACAATCCCAAAGAATGAATGTTTGGTACCAGAGTACAAGGGAACATAATTGTTTTGCTGTAATCGCAACGTAATGAAGCATGGCCAACTGCATTTACCCGAACAACGCACTGGAATGAATGCAAGTTTTGTGTGCAACTACCTCCACAAAACAATGGCATGGATCACTAGCGTGCACAAGGGGGAGGGGGGGGGGGGGGGCAGGCGGGCCATGCCCCCACAACCTTTCATCCGTTAGACGCTTCGTGGCAAGTCACTCACATTGCAGGCTAAGCCAGCATATTATAACGTTCAATTGTTTTTTTTTTCTTGATACATAACTGGAGTTAATCCAACATATCCTGGTTCTCACATTTCCCTTGCCCATGCCTTCTTTCACCCGTCACTTCGTCCCCTGCCCCTTTCTTTAATGTCCCCTTGTCCTTATGCTTACAACTGACCATGCATCCATTTTCCATCTCTCTTACAATTAAGCGTGTACTTACTATTTATGTTATGTTTTTGTTATACATAAATATATATAAATAAATAAATGTATATATATATATATATATATATATATATATATACCACTAATTCTCACTAAAAGGGGAAATAGGAAAAAAGCACACAAAGGGGGAAAATCTATAAAAACGAACCCAACACATGCTGGGCGTATACTTGAAACACCATTTAGTCCAAAGTTGTAAGTGTTTGAGACACTAAACATGCCTAATACAAAAAAATTTTCTGAAGACTGTTAATAAAGGACATAAGTTTTTTACCTCTGAAAAAAATTTTCCTTAGTGTTTTTTAACCCTCAGATGGCCTTTAAGAGGAAATTTACATATTTCACTCTTACAGTGATAATGTCTCCTTTACACATAAAAAAGGACATGTATATATTTCTCCATTTGTATCTATATCGTCCCGTATAGACTGGTTTTACACCTCAAAAGGAGGTTTAAGAAATTTACATATTTCACTCTTACAATGATAATGTCTCCTTTACACCTAAAAAAGGACATGTATATATTTCTCCATTTGCATCTATATCGTCCCGTATAGACCGGGTTACACCTCAAAAAGGAGGTTTAGATCATACATGTGAGACATTCGATAATTCATTCGAGGTAAGCAAAGAGTATTTTGTGTCAATGATTTAAAAATGAGAGTTCCGGCAGTTTAAATCCGATTTCCCCCCATTGTACGGGGGTGGTCATTTTCAATCACATCTCAACCGTTGCACATCTATACCCACCTCATCCATTTCTGTACCTCTACCAGTACTAAACCCTACTCTCCTCCTCCCCTGGCTTGCTCCATGTCACCCCCCCCCCCCCCCACCCCCTCGAACCAACACCCATCATCCTCCATTGTCACTGCTAAAATGGTCAACAACTTCTTCTAAACTCAGTGTATTTGCATGAAGTCCTCCGTTCTCTTCTTATCCATCACCTTCACATAAAAAATGCTCTTACCATGACTACTCTCTCTCTCTCTCTCATTCCTCTGCTCTTTGTTCCCTTTTCACTAAAAACACCTTTAGCTCCACACGTCATCACCGACCTCCAAAACAATTTTTTTTTTTTTCCTGATATAACCTCTCATTCCTTGAAATTTGCCCACCCAAACCAAGCTGTTACATCAACCCCACCCCGATATATGAATATCTTTACTGATTCCACTTTTCCTCATCATGGATCTGCATTAAATACCTGCTAACACTCCCTTTCGTCCTTTCATCCCATACGCACGATCACTTCTACATCGATAAACTGTCATCCTTAATCACAATCCCAAGTTCATGACCAAGTACTCGTAAAATAAATTGTAACTAACAACATTTTATTACAACTCTCAAAAGAAACAATATCTTACTGTATCTATTTTCCCAATAGTTCTGGGTAACCTTTGAAATTGCAAATCCCACATTGAACCTGAACAGTTATATAGGTACTACCATACCAGAATTTAATATCGAAACTTACAGTTACTTACTGTATCTACATTCATCTATTTGGAGCAAAAGTGGCAAAATTGAGACTACGGTCTTCCCATGCTGAGTGATTCTATAATACTTGTTAAACAAATGGGAAATAATGGGAAATTTGGCATCTGTATCCTAAAGGAGAATTTTTATGTCTTGTTAAAAGAAAGAAGGAAAAAAAAATACTAAAATGTACAAAACACAACAATGACTGCAAAGGTGTGTATATGATTAACATATTTGTCATTGGAAATACCATTTTCTCTTGTTTAAAGTAAAATTTGAACATCAAAGGAAAAAGTGTTTGTCACCATATTACCTATCTTTTATATCTGCGAAAACAGTTAACAAAGCAAACCACTCTTAACTACAGTAAAGAACTTCTTAATTCACTTCAGACTTCCCCAAAGTTTTATGTAGTTCAAGAAATCAAACAAAAATGTGAAAAACACTTAAAATATAGAATATACCAACTATTGGGCCAGGCAAAATGAGAAATTGTTTGGACCAAATTTTAACGGAAACTGGACATTTCATATGCGAGACACTTCATACCCATCAGTACTGACACACGTTCAATATTTTTACCTGAAATTCATACCTTTTGTTATGTTTGCATGTAAAGTGGGCCACAAAAGTAAATCTCTTTGAAATGGAGTGGATGAGAATTAGATACAATCATGATCATGATTATATCATTCACAAATGACATATTGGGATTTTGTCATCATTTTTTGCACTAAAATGTATATTTTGAAGTTCAAAACAAAATTAAAAATTGATGTACTGAAATTGGCCATCAAATACATTAAAGCTGTCTAAATCCATTCAGATAATGGATTTAGACCAATTCCTATTAAAAAAAAATGGGTATGAACTAACTCAGGATGATGATAAATGGGTATGAAATGTCCAGGATTCATTGTAACATGTACAAGAACATTATAAGCAAGCATTTAATGTTAGCATACACAAACAGTTACTGCATGTAAGCATTTGTACCCAAATGCACTGCCATCAAGATTGAATTATGCAATTTATGCATGCTGTACACAATGTGTCCAAACAATATTTGGAAGTACTGGCAAGACCAGTTGCCATGTTAGCAGATGACTTGGGAGGAGTGCCACAGCTCTGAAGAACCAACTATTAGGTGGGATGAATGTCAGCTGCTGAGTTTTATCACCTTTTCACCATAGACTGGATGTCTAAGAAAATCTTTACTTCCATGTTTAAACAACAGACCTCATGAATGTCTACAAGAATAGCTGACCATGTTTAATTACTGAAGGTCAAAACCTCATCATTTCTCCTTTTACTAAGTTTCCATCCATACAAGAAACTTTTCAGTCTGGTAGCAATTAAACTTCCTAATTATTTACAGATGTTTTCTGCAAATGTAGCACTTTTGGCGGAGTAAAAACTCTTGATTTACTCACTTTCGCGAATTCCTCATAGAAACCACACTGTTTCTCACTTTATACTTAACATCTCTCCAAGATCTTTCTTTCAAAACTTCGTTTTGCTGAATGCAACGCATGCACAGGATCTTGCCAGGTGTGTTTCCCTTTTTTATATCTTGATGGAAGTATTTCCATACAGCACGAGTCTCTTCCTTTGACCATGGGCGACGATTCCCTGCAAAATTAAATGCAATAACATATTGTAAAAGAAACATCTGCTTGAAATGGCAAGAAAGATAGATTTGTCATAATGAAAGAAAAGAAAAGCATATCCTCACCTGGGATTTGAACCTCTGACCTACCAGCCAAGTGGCAAGATTCACAATCACTAACCCAAGTGGTAACAAAAATAATATCAGTGAGGGCCTATTGTGTTTACACTACTTTTCATTATGCATGAGTGGATTCCAGCCTCAAATGATTAACATTGGAAAAATTAGGGCAAAAGTGTAAAAATATCATGTTCTATAAGAAGAGATACATTATTGGTAACATGTTGCATTAACCCTTACTGTGCGTTGCAGCCGAATGAAATTTCAACTTGCCATTTCATAACTTTATTTCCTCAAGTCTTATGCACATTTTGATACCATTTTTGTCAAATTCAGATATACCTGTCAGATGTTACATAACAATTAGTATGCGTATGCCATCCCAAAGCACTATAATTGCATGTATTCAAGTACAAGCAGAAATATGAATTCATGTTTAGATGTATTTCTTCATGATTGGGAGATATTGACTGATTTGATATAATTTTCAAAGTAACTTGAAGTATTCCAGAACAAAAGAATACATTAAAAATAAAACAATAGAAATAATTAGAAAACTGACAGAAGCAATGAAATACATAAGAAAATAGAATAATGCATTTTTTTGCAGTTTCTGATGTATAGTGTGAGCAATGTATACACATTGCTCCTAAGCCATCCCAACCCCCGCCCCCACCCCAGTCAGTGAGGTGCTCAAAATAGCCTGGTACAGTAAAGGTTAAATGTAAATAAGTAAATTAATGAATAAATGTAAACTAAATAACAAAATAAAATAGTTTGAGAGATATACGGGTACCACCATATAGAGACAAAGATTAGAAATTTTCAATATCACCCACATAATTTGTCAGCCATAGGGAGAAATTTGGTGGTATTCTTGTTCTGCACGGTTTTCCTAGTGTGCTGAAATGTGTGCTCATATCACAGAAAGATGTATTCAAACAGTGCATCCCCCCTGCAAAATCTGTATACCCCCAAAAAATTCTCTCCTCCAGGCCGAGACAAAATAAAGTTGAGACTCCGTATAGCAAAAAAATTGATATTCCCAAATCAATGTAAAGCACCTTGTAAAAGTTTACACTGTTTTGTTTATTTAAAAAAAGGAATTGAAAATTTTTATGAGGAGATATGTTCCTAGTTTAATAAAAGAAATAATTTTCAAGCTATGTGCCTTCCACTGTTGATTATGCCCCAACATTCTTTGACTGAGATTGGTGCAGTTTGGAGCTCTGATCCCTATGCTCTCAATGGCTAACGTATGAACTTACCAAATCTGTCTTATGATTTACTTTAATTGGGTTTGTGCTACACAACATATTTTAACGTCTGAAGTCCTGTGTGTTTGAAATTAGGTATCAACTACGAAAGTGCCTTGTGCATCTGTATCAGAAGATACAATGTGATGTTGGACTTTAGTATCAACGCACCAATTTTACAATTTTGTGTCAAGCAGGTTCAATACTGGTTCCATGCATACCATTGAATGAGATTTTTTTTTTCTAATGTTTTTCTTAAAAGTTTTCCTTTAAGATAAGGATAAGCACTCGATGCAAAGCTTTTCTTATGAATGATAAATTTTGTTGATTCAATATTTCAGTCTCAATCGAAAGAAGGTTATAGGGTAATCAACAGGGAAGCGTTTCATGAAGAGTCTTGACGGTGATTTTCACTGACTAATTTGCTCTCAGCCAATCAGATGCAAGGATTTTCAGTAGCTTATAACATTTGTCGGTGAAAATCACTGACAAATCATCGACAAAACTCTTCATGAAACGCTCCCCAGGTATTTATATAGTTTACTTAAGTGTTTACTTTGCATTCATGATTTGTTTGTTCATCAATGATGTGGACAGCTTGAAAAAATTATTTTCTTTATTAAAAAAATGAGCATTACTCCTCTTAGAAATTCAAGAGTCTGCACATATACAAGCTGCTTCACATTAGTTTTGAGTATTAGTTGTTCTTTTGTTTGGCCCGTTTCAAAATTTCAATTGGTCTGTAACCGGCGGCTCTAGGAGGTGCCAGTTGAGTTTTTAAATGGTTACATACCTCTTTAAATTTGGAAAATTTATGACTCCATGGAAGTATTGTCTGAAATCTTCATATCATTCCAATAATAAAATTCTGAAGTTCTCCCTTTCACAGGCCCTAATACTGGCTAATTCTCAATGAAAACCTTGTGCATAAAGCAGCACCGTGTATATCACACAAAGTGTCTAAATGACTATCAGAATATATTGTGTGGCTGAATTGACTTGGTTTTGTGGCCAAATTGCTCTATTGCCCGAACTGACTCGCTAATTTCTCAATTATTTGTCTCACCTTTTGATTTCTTTGTCTTCGTTCTCTTCTTCTGCTTTGGATGAGCATCTGATTCAGGGCTGCTGTATTCAGACTCTAATACATCTTGAAACAAAAGTGTATAATAATATAAAATATCAAAGTACTTGAAAAGGGATTAATGCTTTAGTTTCCCATTAAAAACACCAACAAAAATTGAGGTGATTTATAGACCAAAAAATAGACTGAATGTACGAGAGGGTCCAATAGGCAGAAGGTTCTATAGACAAAATCAAAGGAGGGTCCGATAGTCCAAAAGTTCTATAGACCAAATTTCCAAGCAGGTCCAATAGTCAGAAGGTCTGATAGATAGAAGGTTCAATAGTCCGATTGTATGAAAAGGTCCGATGATGGTTACCGGGGATAGTTAGAAGGTCCGATAGACCAACAATAACGTAAAATAAGGAATCAGTAGTTTCAGTGACAGAAATATATTTTTTTTATTTCTTGAAGCTCAAATCAGAGGGAGTGACAGTGCTGCCAACCTGAAAATTTATCTTTCAGGGAGATTTTACCATGAAATCAGGGAGATCTTTAAGTACAACACACAATCCAATGGAGGAAATCAATGAATGAATCAGGGAGATTGTTGAAAATCTATAGTTTTTCACTCCAAAATCAGCCAATTTTGAGGAAGTCTCCTGCACAATCAGGAAGACTTGGCAGCTCTGGAGTAATATAAATTCCATTTCTGTAAAAAGTATTTTGAACCAGCATGGAAGTGCAATATCAGGTAGAGAGAGAGAGAGAGAGAGAGGGGGGGGGGGGGGGGGGGGGTGTAGTCCTTAATCAGCCCATCCCATAAGGAAATTCATAGGTTGACTGTTATACAATATAGAGGAGAATGAGAAATTTTTCTATTTGTCCCTTTGATTGAATTTAATCTTACAGTTTAAGTTATTGTCGGACTATTGGAACCTCTTGACGATTCGGTATATGGAACCACTGTATCTGTTGGACCCTCCCGCACATTTGGTCTATAGAACCTTCTATCTATTGGGTGTCCGTCTATCTGACCCATTATCTATTGGGCCTTCTAGCTATAGGGCGGTAACCGTTAGCAGAACCCTACCGTGTGCAATTCACACCCACATAGAATTTGTAATTTGGCACATTCAGTTCCAGATGCTGATGATAATTATCCCCAATTGCTGAGATTCATAGTCCCAGACCTTCCAAACTGAGCTAACGAGAACGACGATAACGTACCTCTTGATGAACTCTTTGTCTTCTTTCTTTTCATCTGCTTTGGTTCAGCATCAGATTCAGGGCTGCTATATTCAGACTCTGGTACATCTATCATAATAAGAGTGGAAGGAAAATACCAGTTTAACCCAACATAAAGTAGTAGTGTAAGATGTGGAATATCACTGTTAAAGCTACCAATTCATCGGTGAAGAGTTACACTATGATAATTCTCCTATTTTGATGAAATCAATGTTGTCCTTGACTGGGTAAGTTTGGGCCTTGTATTCATTAACTCACAAAATCTATTTTTAACCTAGATGAGTCTTCGACTGTGAACGGTCGAAATGTATGCCTCCACCATTGCCAGACCAGAAATATATGGCCTGTTTTTCTATCTCCAAAAACAACATTACATAATTCACCTTCATCATTGGTCATGTGACCCTAAAAATCTGATCAGATCATTGTCACTCCTAAATGCATATTACATGAGCCAAGTTTGAATTTGATCTGCTATGTGGTCTTTTAGTTATTGCAAAAATAAGCCATTGTTATGTATTTAAATGAACTGTGACCTTGACCTTTGACCTTGAGATCCCCCGAATCAAGTCAATTCATCTTCACTGTTGTACGCATGCATGAGTCAAGTTTGAAGATGATACGTTGAAAATTTTTTTTTAGTCATTGCGAGAATGAAGACGGGACAGACGGCCGGACGACCCCCCAAAAAACATCATGCCTCCAGCAACCTCTGGTGGGTGGAGGCATAATTATTCATATTCATATGTGTCAAAATAGTTCAAAAGGTGTTCATACTATAACATTTCCCACTGGAAACCATCAATGACATACATTCTGATCTCTCTGTCTTCTTTCTCTTCTTTTGCTTCGACTGAGCATCTGATTCAGGGCTGCTGTCTTCAAACTCTGGTATATCTACAAGTATAATAATAGGAGGGGAAAGAAAATGTCCAAATATTGTCTGATATTTGTGGGTTTTTTTTGCTCTTGTGTAGCACGTCTAATTCTGCACTGAACTGAAAAGAAAGGTTAGATGTATAAAACGCTGACATCAGACAGTCTGACAAGATCATGATGTACAGAGTGCTTGTTTTAGGGGAGACTTTTGTATGTAATATATTGATCAACTTTCTGTTTTCTCCAATGAATAAATAATGCAGCAGGTATCTGCACAGCAAAACACTGATTGAAGCCTGTTTATATCCAAAGAATGACTGGATGAAATTCAATATCAACACTTATTTTCAATTGATAATTCCATTAAGTACAATAATTAGACTTCTATCCCTGCTTTGTGTATCTCAAACAGTTCATTGATTTTAACAGGCAAGTTATCAAATTTTTTTTTTTTAGAAAAGTCATTATCTTGTTAGTGCATAATGGAGGGAGAACAAATGTACCCAGTTGCACAAAACCACAGATGAAATTCAACCAGACTTGGGTGAAAATTGGTTTTACTGTTGCAAAAAGGAAAATGGGGGGGGGGGGGGATTTGAAAATGGCAATACATTTAAAGCAATATAAAATAAGCAAAAGTTATCCTGTTTTGGATTGATAAGGAAAAAAGGAGGATGGGACAGCGATGTTTGATTCTAAATTTATAGAAATGAGGCTGCAAGCTTCTGTAATAAGAAATATGAATATCATCATTAATAGACTGTTATGGCTCAATTTTCTCTAATCAATTTCTCATTGTCACACACAGCATTTGTCCAAATTCTTGTCAAAAAGAAAGAATTCCAGAAAACAATTTTAAAAGTATTAAGGAAAAGGCAGCAGTAGAATTCGAGAAAAAAAGCTGTTGAAATGGTTTCCGATGGGATTTTTCACTTAAAACTGTTGTCACACTAATGATACTCTCTTCACCAAACATTTAAGCTTGCTGCAAGGCATTTTCTCTGGCGCAACAAGAACTAAAAGCCATATCAGAGGCATGTATACGATAGACAACCATGCACATTGAGCCATTGATGTGTGCTAGTTTTGGCAGAAAAAATTTCAATGAACTCTTCCCCAAATGACAATGGCACAATAACCTACTTTGCCTCTGCATGTCCCCAATACACAAAAATCATGCTGGCTAGTCCTATTTCAATAATGGTGGCACTTTGAAAATCATTGTACAGAGAGAACAGGATAATTTTTGTCAAAGGGGATATTTTTCCCAGGATTTGACAACTCTAGAAAAACAAATTAGTTCTTAAAAAATAGCTAAATGGGTCAACTCAATATAGTTTCCCACTAAAGCATGATAAACAATAGTTATATACCTTTCACCATGCACCTGCTTTTCCTCTGCTTCTGTTGTGACACACTTGACTGGTCCCTGATCTTCAGTGCAGATCTCTTGCAAAGTTGCCCAACTTGCATATCTGCAAATTCGATTGTCCAACAACTTAAAATTTTGTACTATTAAACGGGAATGATATTTTGATATTACAGTATTCCAAAACAATTCTCTGATTAAGCCATTCAGAATCTATTTCAGATTAAAGGACTGTATTTTCCAGTGTTACATTTCATCACTCATGCTCCAGGACTGCTGGGCAGCTGCATGGATTCTAACTCTTACATGTATGAGACAATGAAGATGACCAATGCAAAAAGCATACCTCTTGGCATTTCACTTTTCCTCTGTTCTGATTCTGGGATGTTGCCACATTTTTCTGGTACATCTGCAAAATAAATATTGAAAGAAAAAAAACCTGAGTACATATTCTGGTAAAAGTATTCTTGTAAATATTGTGTGGGCACCACATGATCCCCATAAATACTGAAAGCACTAGACAAAACCATTTCAGAGACATTTTCACATCTCAAGGATCATGTGAAATGCAGATGCAGTTCAGTCATGTATTGGGGTAGGCTATTAGCAGGCCTTACTGGCCTTCTAGTCTACTCCTCCATACAAAGGATTTTGTAAATGTAATCATGTTTAAATTTTGGGTTTTTCAATGTATTTTTTACATTGAAATAAAGTGATATGATAATGATATGATATATATGTATACATAGATATATATACATGCAAGATCCTGTCATCATCCTCTAGGATCAATGGTCCAAAGTCATCCTGGGAAGTAAAAGGGAGCTTCACCTGTACTACCATTGAGTGTGTATACGCAATGCGGTGTAAATTGTGCGATGTATTGTACGTCGGACAAACCAAGATAGCTGACAGGATTGCTGAGCACCTGCGATTCATCACTATCGACACACCCAGACCAGTTGCCGGTCTGCAGGTCTATGGCCGAAAATTCAGAAATCTTCAATCTCCACTGCTTTTCATTCTTTTGAATTTTTTTCTTTAATACCACTAGAACCCAACGCAGAACTCTCTTTTTCTTGAAATATATATATATATATATATATATATTTTAAAATAAAATAAAGAAATCTAGGCTCTTATACAGTGCTTTTACAAAGATCAAGTCCCCATATCAACGCACTTCCCATATATTCCGTTATCACTAAAATACAGCCAACTGCCATCTGCCTTACAGTCATGGTGCCCCTTGACTATATTTCTTGTAACAACCCATGATAATGCTTCACAAAGCAATTAGGATTAAATGTCCTGCCCAAGAACATTCCTCGTTGGCTATAGCAGGGCTCAAACTCGCAACCTTCTGATTCAGTGTCATGTGCTGTTCCAACAGACCACATGAGCTGTTTTATGATTTGTAATGTTTGTGATATTGACATGGATCTTAAAAGGTAATATTCCCCACAAAATCCACTCATTACTGAGTACCTTCCAAGGCTTTTGATAACTTTCAAAGTGTTTTTTTTTTTTACATGGTATAGAAAATTTAGTTTGGTAAAAAGCGAAGCATGTCAAAACTATATCTCATAGGAAACTTGACACTTAACCTCCATGCCATTTCCCGCTACACACTAAATATGCCCACAGACATATTAGCTCGGGTTAGGGTTTAGGGTTCTATAACTGACATTATGGTTATGGATTAGGATTTGATTTAGGACTTGGGGTTAGAGCCTTAATAGGCCTACACTTAAGGTGGTATTGCACCCCCTTGATAAATCTGTAACTTATTGTATTTTTCTAAAAACAAGTCAGTTATAAAAGAAAATGAGGGATTGCTAGGATTTTCCTCCTTTTCTCACTAGTAATGAATTGCTCAGCTTGAGTTATTGAAATTCCAGTATAGTATTTGGATTCTTTGTCCCTATCTATAATTTCCTTGACCAGAGTGGTATTACTTTTTGAGTAAAATGCAAAAATAGTATCGGGGTGCAATTCCACCTTAAGGTATCTAAACTTTGCTTATAGTAATTTACCTGTTGGTTCTTGTTGTTCTTGTAATAAATCCTGGATGTCTATGTCTGAAATAAAAAAAATGACAAATTCAACTTATGAATACAATCACTATCCAGTCTTACCATCAAATATTAAACCTTCTTGGGCACACTGAATTTTTAAATATTTTTGTTATGTCTTCTCATTGAAGAAGGAAAAAATACAATGCATAATAAATCGCAATCTTTGATATTAAAGCAATTCAATTATATTGACCCACAATGTGTGTCTTCTTTTTTAACCCTTTGAACCCGAGCCATTCCACGCATATCTGTACCGCTGACCAGGGCCTACCCAAAATTTTTAAATCACTGTATAAGCCTATCATTTTGATTTTGATGTCCCTTGCTTCATATTTCATCTTACAATCGTCTGAATTGTTTCAGTCACCAGCATTCAAGCCAGGAATTTTTTTGTCTACTAATGTATACAACAATTCCATTTTTATCTACATGTATGGGGATGCAATATTTGATGAAAATTGCGATAAAATTAACAGAAATTGCGAAATTATTCATTTCTCTTGTGCAAATAAAAGCCAACTGACTTATCAACCAAGGGTTCCAAGATTCATTGATGTCTTCTGGTCTAAATAAAATCATTAAATATTGTAACTACACAATCTGGTACACAGGCACATCAGGTGTCTAACACGGGTCCTAAAAGTCGCTAATTTTTTTAAACAGGTACCAGTAGCTCCTTACAGGTTGACTCTCTATTACTGCAAAATGAAATGCAGCAAGTGCACTAACATGAGGTCAAAGGACAAACCCAGATCTTCTTGGCAAAAAAAATATTAGGTTTAATTTTGTCAAGAAAGTTTCACTCTGATACACATATGAATCAATTGTATCCTGATAATAAAAGAGGTAGGAAAATACCAGTAAAATTTCACAACTCTCACTACTTTTCATCAAACTTCATTTTGGCCTCATGTCAAAAAAAAATAATAATAATACATAAAAATACACAATTGATACCATTACATGAAATCTACCTTTGAAGTGAGGCATAATAACCAAAAAGTGTTCAAACTTTGACAAAATTGATTCAAAAATTGCAATGTTTATTTGGAAATAACACTTCATCCTGCAACTTATAGATTGGTTTTCAACTCATCCAAGAAAGCAATATATAAGATTTTAGCATACATGTATACTCCTTCAAATTCTTGATTTTTGTAATTAAGGAAGGAATAGACTAAACTTATTACAGTTGCAGCCTGAAATTGAGATTTCTTCAATATTTTCAAAATAAATATGTGTTCTACCTTTTGCAACAGAGATATCCATCACAGATTAACCTTTCAAATATTATAAGACAATTCAAAATGTTTTTTTTTTTCATCATAAACACCACCTGGTCTTATTTTGTAATAGATCAGGGATTTTAAGCAAAAAAAGCATGCTTACTAAGCCTGCGTGAGAGACACATCATGCAGTGCATTTTGCTGCACATAGTTACTGGTGTGGGTGTTGATTTTCTTTGGTACGTAAAAAATTAGCCCAAAATAGTTCTACAAAATGTAAACAAAGACAAAAAGTATGATGGGTTTACTTTCATCTTTTGATGAGTTCTTGAGCAAAGGGCGACAGATACGGAATTGGATAGTGCATAAAGGTACCTGTCAATCGTGTTCATTACATACCTTGCTCGAAAGTTCATAAACAAAGGCTTTTGGCAGCGCTTGACATTAGCAGTGGCCCTGGGGTCTGGGGCCAGCAAAATTTTGGAAAAGCCCACACTTGGTGGCCCGACTGGGCCACCAAATTTTTAATAAACTGTAAAGTTTGCTATTGTTGGGGGCCACCAAATTTCGTTTTCAGGCCACCAAGTAAAAAGCAAATGGGGAGCCTTGCTTTTGGTAAATAAAGGTTGGATCCAGGGAATATGGCAGTGTACCCCACAGAACAAATCAAATTTGTGCTCCACAAGACAATGATAGAGATAAATTGTGTGTCAATGTACTCAAAGAACAAATCAAATATGAGCCCCATAAGACAATGGTGAGCATCCAGGGTGCATGACAATGTACCCCGCAGAATAAATAAAAAAAGATACCTGCAAGACTAAGGTATGGATCCAGGGAATGTGGCAATGTACCCCACAAAACAAATCAAATATGAGCTCCAAAGACTATGGTATGGATTCACAGTCATGTCAATATGTACCCCACAGAAATTTGTTTAAAAAATGCAACATAAAGACAATTGATTGGATCCAGGGTGCGTGTCAATGTACCCCACAGAACAAATCAAATACTTATGTGCTCCACAAGACAACAGTGTGGATCCGGAATGTGTATCGATTTGAACTCACAGAACAAATCAAATAGATGCCCCGCAAGATGAAGGTATGGATCCAGGGAATGTGGCCATGTACCCCACAAAACAGATCAAATAGATGCTCCACAAGACAATGGTATAGATCCAGGGTGTGTGCCAATGTACTCCACAGAACAAATCATATGCTCCAAAAGACAACGGTATAGATCCGGGGTGTGTGTCAATGTACCCCACAGAACAAATCAAATAGATGCTCCACAAGACAATGGTATAGATCCCGGGGTGTGTGTCAGTGTACCCCACAGAACAAATCAAATATATGCTCCAAAAGACAATGGTATAGATCCGGGGTGTGTGTCAATGTACTCCACAGAACAAATCAAATATATGCTCCAAAAGACAACGGTATAGATCCGGGGTGTGTGTCAATGTACCCCACAGAACAAATCACATAGATGCTCCACAAGACAATAGTATAGATCCCGGGGTGTGTGTCGATAAAAGGCCCCCCGCTTTTCTCGAAAGGGTGCGTTGAGAGCGGAGTACCGTTTTAACACACCCTTTCGATAAAAGCGGGGGGTCTTTTCTCGAAAGGGTGCGTCACCTAGTCTTTTGCATCAGTCGTTTAAAATGAGGATCTGGGACAGAAGGTAATAGCTAGTTGCCAATTTAAGTATATCGAAAATTTTATCGAATGGGTGCGTTGAGCACACCACACCGCGCCGCACCGCACCCTTTCGATGAAAGCCGTGACAATGTACCCCACAGAACAAATCAAATATATGCCCCACAAGACAATGGTTTAGATCCGGGGTGTGAGTCAATGTATCCCACAGAACAAATCACATATATGCCCCACAAGACAATGGTATAGAGCCGGGGTGTGTGTCAATGTACCCCACAGAACAAACCAAATATATGCTCAAAAAAAAAATGGTATAGATCCCGGGGTGTGTGTCAATGTACTCCACAGAACAAATCAAATAGATGCCCCACAAGACAATGGTATAGATCCCGGGGTGTGAGTCAATGTACCCCACAGAACAAATCAAATATATGCTCCAAAAGACAATGGTATAGATCCCGGGGTGTGTGTCAATGTACCCCACAGAACAAATCAAATAGATGCCCCACAAGACAATGGTATAGATCCTGGGGTGTGTGTCAATGTACCCCACAGAACAAATCAAATATATGCTCCAAAAGACAATGGTATAGATCCCGGGGTGTGTGTCAATGTACTCCACAGAACAAATCAAATATATGCTCCAAAAGACAATGGTATAGATCCCGGGGTGTGTGTCAATGTACTCCACAGAACAAATCAAATAGATGCCCCACAAGACAATGGTATAGATCCGGGGTGTGTGTCAATGTACCCCACAGAACAAATCAAATATGCTCCAAAAGACAATGGTATAGATCCGGGGTGTGTGTCAATGTACTCCACAGAACAAATCAAATAAATGTAGATGCTCCACAAGACTATGGTATGGATCTAGGGTGTGTGACAATGTACCCCACAGAACAAATCAAATATATGCTCCAAAAGACAATGGTATAGATCCGGGGTGTGTGTCAATGTACCCCCACAGAACAAATCAAATATATGCTCCAAAAGACAATGGTATAGATCCCGGCGTGTGTGTCAATGTACCCCCACAGAACAAATCAAATATATGCTCCAAAAGACAATGGTATAGATCCGAGGTGTGTGTCAATGTACTCCACAGAACAAATCAAATAGATGCTCCAAAAGACAATGGTATAGATCCGGGGTGTGTGTCAATGTACTCCACAGAACAAATCAAATAGATGCCCCACAAGACAATGGTATAGATCCGGGGTGTGTGTCAATGTACCCCACAGAACAAATCAAATATATGTAGATGCCCCACAAGACAATGGTATAGATCCCGGGGTGTGTGTCAATGTACCCCACAGAACAAATCAAATATATGTAGATGCCCCACAAGACAATGGTATAGATCCGGGGTGTGTGTCAATGTACCCCACAGAACAAATCAAATATATGTAGATGCCCCACAAGACAATGGTATAGATCCCGGGGTGTGTGTCAATGTACCCCACAGAACAAATCAAATATATGCCCCACAAGACAATGGTATAGATCCGGGGTGTGTGTCAATGTATCCCACAGAACAAATCAAATATATGCCCCACAAGACAATGGTATAGATCCGGGGTGTGTGTCAATGTACTTCACAGAACAAATCAAATAGATGCCCCACAAGACAATGGTATAGATCCCGGGGTGTGTGTCAATGTACCCCACAGAACAAATCAAATATATGTAGATGCCCCACAAGACAATGGTATAGATCCGGGGTGTGTGTCAATGTATCCCACAGAACAAATCAAATATATGTCCCTCAAGACAATGGTATAGATCCGGGGTGTGTGTCAATGTACTCCACAGAACAAATCAAATATATGCCCCACAAGACAGATCCCGGGGTGTGTGTCAATGTACCCCACAGAACAAATCAAATATATGCCCCACAAGACAATGGTATAGATCCGGGGTGTGTGTCAATGTACCCCACAGAACAAATCAAATATATGCCCCACAAGACAATGGTATAGATCCGGGGTGTGTGTCAATGTATCCCACAGAACAAATCAAATATATGCCCCACAAGACAATGGTATAGATCCGGGGTGTGTGTCAATGTACTCCACAGAACAAATCAAATAGATGCCCCACAAGACAATGGTATAGATCCCGGGGTGTGTGTCAATGTACCCCACAGAACAAATCAAATAGATGCCCCACAAGAGAATAGTATAGATCCGGGGTGTGTGTCAATGTACCCCACAGAACAAATCAAATAAATGCTCCAAAAGACAATAGTATAGATTCGGGTTTCAACAACAGTTGGGCAATCTTCAAGAATTGGGATTTCCTCCATGTCCCTTTCAATAACAGAAAGGCAATCATTGGGATTGGGGCTATCCCTTTCAACAACGGTAAGGCAATAATTGGGATTTGGGAATTCCTCTGTATCCCTTTCAACAACAGTAAAGCAATCATTGGGATTTGGGAATTTCTCTGTATCCCTTTCAACAACAGTAAGGCAATCATTGGGATTTGGGAATTCCTCTGCATTCCTTTCAACAACAGTAAAGCAATCATTGGGATTTTGGATTTTCTCTGTATCCCTTTCAACAACAGTAAGGCAATCATTGGGATTTTGGATTTTTCTCTGTATCCCTTTCAACAACAATAAGGCAATTATTGGGATTTTGGATTTTTCTCTGTATCCCTTTCAACAACAGTAAAGCAATCATTGGGATTTTGGATTTTTCTCTGTATCCCTTTCAACAACAGTAAGGCAATCATTGGGATTTTGGAATTTCTCTGTATCCCTTTCAACAACAGTAAGGCAATCATTGGGATTTTGGATTTTTCTCTGTATCCCTTTCAACAACAGTAAGGCAATCATTGGGATTTTGGGTTTTCTCTGTATCCCTTTCAACAGTAAGGCAATCATTGGGATTTTGGATTTTCTCTGTATCCCTTTCAACAGTAAGGCAATCATTGGGATTTTGGATTTTCTCTGTATCCCTTTCAACAGTAAGGCAATCATTGGGATTTTGGATTTTCTCTGTATCCCTTTCAACAGTAAGGCAATCATTGGGATTTTGGATTTTCTCTGTATCCCTTTCAACATTAAGGCAATCATTGGGATTTTGGATTTTCTCTGTATCCCTTTCAACAGTAAGGCAATCATTGGGATTTTGGATTTTCTCTGTATCCCTTTCAACAGTAAGGCAATCATTGGGATGTGGGAATTCCTCCGCATGAAAACGTATTTCCCAATAAAAATTTTCAATAAAACTTGTCTCATATACTTTTCTGATATAAATTTTTTTTTTAATTGTTCTATTACAATTGTATGGGCAAGACAAATTTGAAGAGCACCCTTGAAAATGCTTATTCAAGCTAATTAGCATGAGAATGGGAATTTTTATTGGCCACCAGGTAATGCGTATCATTAAGTTAGACAATTACTTAAAAGGGCGATGAAAAACCACTGTGTTTTCTGACTGACATGCAAGAACCAATTGTTGGGTCCATATGGACCCCCCCCCCCCCCCCTCCTGACCACTTAAGTGTTAACTGCACTGTGATTTTTCCTCATACATAATAAACCCATTACTCTAATCATTTTTAACTCGATGAAATCTTTATTACAAGTTTTAAAAATGAACTTTTTGCTTACCCCCTTCGGTGATCTCATCCAGGTTTTTTCCTATTAGCTTTCCAGCCTTGCCCTCATCAATTGCAATCATGAGCTTAGCAACCTTTGCCAGTTCGATGGTCGATTCGTTTAATCTATAAAACTCCCGATGCACTCGGATGTCGTGGCCCATGTGATCAGCTAACCAGTCTAGCTGACTCTCTGACAGATTCAATATCTGCGACACCGTCCCACAGTACTTTCTCATCTTTGTTGTGCGAATGAGATGAGGCTTCATTAGATCTGCCTCCTCAGCCAATGCTTGAAGACTGTCTGATGCTCGGAGGGAGGTTTCACATCCAGGCCGTGCAAAGAAGTATACATTATCTTTTGTAATGCCTCCTTCATGACGGTGAGCCACAAGTTTATCCATTGTTGCCTTGCAATCTTGAGGAATTAACACAGGTACCTTACGTCCACGTTTTCCTCTAGTGTAAACCATGTCTAGATCATTCATTAGATGTTGCTCCAGTGGAGATAGGGACTTTTTCACTTCTTCTATGCCTGAGCCTACTGCATTCCAGTTTGGTCTCTCTGTGTATGATTTCAGTCTATATAAGAAATAACCAATATGAATGTTTTGTGAAATAATCACAAGAATTAGGTTACATTTACAAATTGCTTAAGTTTCAAAAGGACAACTGATTTAAAATGACACTTGATACTCAGTGCAGAGCAAAATATTGATTCAGCTATTCTTTGAGACCATACTGTAACTTTAAGATTCTAACAAAGATCTGACTGCATACAAAGTCTATGTTTTGGTCTCAATGACCACCTCAAACCTTTTGCCAGGCAATGAGGGATGGAGGCTTTTTAGAGTAAATCTACATAACCTTACATTTGGACAAGCTTGAGGCAGTTATGATTTCCTCAAGCATCATGATGCTTGAGGAAATCATAACTGCCTCAGTAGAACAATTATATCAATGCCGGGATGTCTGAATGTCCAAGGAATTATCTTACCTCTAATTCCCAGAGCACTAAGGTTTGGATGGCATGGAATGCCTCATGCCATTAGGTTATTAAATGGTATTTTTTCTATGCTGAGAACTTTTCCCAAACAAGTCTAAATTTGTGACCCTCCATCACAAAACGACCAATAAGTCGAAATGGGAGTTTTTACGTAAACATCCAAAATAGCCGAGTTGGGGTGGAAAAGTAGATTTTCGGTTTTTGGTGTTTTTTGAAAGAGCAACTATCGATGTACCATCTGGCTAAATTGCAGGGTCAGAAGTGAGACAGAAACATGTCTTTTCTTTGATTTAAAATGACTTCTTTTTTTGGTCACTTCTGAAATTCCTTCAGAAAGGGGTCTGATTTTATCATACTGAAAGCTTGGAAACAACTGAGTGTAACTAAAAAAAAAAACATGTTATGTAACAAGTTCACACTGAGATCAATGTGTACAGGATGTGTGCCAATTCTCGTTGAAATCTGATAAATCGATTGATTGAATTCACATTTATTTCCTTCTTGAAGACAATATACAAATACAAAATATAGTTAAATGAACATACAGAGAAGGTGGCGAAACACCCCGAAAATCGATTCATACCGGTTGCTAGGGAGTTTTGGGTGGATGTATTTTGCCACGGGACAATAGGACAGAGTTAAGACTCTGAATTGTCTCTTATCTTTACAGCCCGTTTTCTCTGTTATTCTTCTCATCACATTGACAGACTTGCTGGCCTTCTCGCTGTAATTCTGGATGGTTAGCATAGTCCATATAGGTCAAGTTTTATATCATTTTAAAGCTTACAAGCTGGGCTTTCATATTCAGTTAAAATCAGAAAAACCAAAATTTCTGAATTATTGGTCGTTTTGTCGTGGAGGGTCACATTTAAGATTTCAGTTTAAATGGTCAAATCATTTGAATGTACAAAGTAATTTTGTGAACTGCACCTACCTATACTACAATCTTTGTAAAAAATGTTGGAGCAAAATGCTTTCCTCAGTCCCCTCATACAGTGCTGAAGCACCAAGTGTTGTTTCTTGTCTATGGAAGGAACTAACATTGTGATAGGGGTTTGGGGACGGGATCACTGGTTGGGGAAGGCTTTGGCCTTGATGACCAAAAAGAGGCTCTTTCAGTGCTTTAAAACTAAAATTGTGGCATTATCATGCAGCGATGCTTTTTTATTTTGCTCCAACAATTTTTGACAATGAGTATAATACACGTGTGTAAGCTTACAGTATAAGGCCAAAAGTTTGGGGCCACCCTCAGATTTAAAGGAAAATCATACAAACACTGCATTCTGCATTGATTCAAATGTATCGATACTGAATGGGCTATGGCAGTTACACTACATCACACAAGCATGCTTCCAACCGACTTTGAGTATTTCTGTGAACCCCAGTCGGTTTTCATAATATATTCAAATTTTATGCATACATTAAAAGCAAAGGTTATTTTTTGTTGTTGAAAGTTTGTCTGAGGCTTGTCTGACAAATAATATAGGCAAACTGGATTCTAGCAATTAAATTTCATTTAAAAAGAGCAGTCATCTCCATGATGTTTTCGGGAATGAAACATCCCAACAATCCAGTCGCTCTTAGCCTGTGTTTCACTCTAGTCAATGAGATGGGCTGTTCCCTGGCAGAATTCACATCAGCCCTTATATCTCAAGCAGTCAACTTCCTATTCCTCTTGCTGGAAACAACGGTAATGCTTGTCTTCTGCTTCTGACGTCACTTTATATATTTATGTAGCATGTGTCCTTGTTGCATAACATGATTTTATGTCACTTAGGCCTCCATAAACGGACTGGAACAGACCATTTTCCTAATGAATTCAAATTTACGGATGTTTCATTCCCGGGAATATTATAGAGACAAGTTATTCCTTTAGCCTGCTCTTTTAATTAAAATTCAATTGCTAGAATCCAGTTTGCTTATATCATCTGTTGCTATATCAGACAAGCATCAGACAAGCTTTCAGGATGTCAAAAATAATTCTTACTTTTAAGGCATGCATAAAATTTGAATATATTACTGGGGTTCACAGAAATACTCAAAACCGGTTGGAAATATGCTTGTGTGATGTAATGTAACTGCCATAGCTCATTCAGCATCAATACATTTGAATGATAACAAATGCAGTGTTTTGTATGATTTTCTTTCAAATCTGAGGGTGGCCCCAAACTTTGTGCCTGTTCCGTAATTGGGTTTGTACCACAACTAGTCACATTTTCACCAATTTTTTGTCCCAAGGGAATATGTTATCTTTTGACCCCAAAATCTCCTGTAATGAGACAAAATGAGCACACCATGATACAGAATTTTTTGTAGTCAAAAAGTTTGAAATAAGATTAAATCCTTGATCTATTTTCCCAACTATTTAATCAGATTTAGCCCTATATGGATGGCATCATTTCCAAATGCTGTGTGCAGTTTAAAGTGCAGGTACTTTATTTAGACACACTTTCTTGGTGGCCTGAACCGATTGCTTGCAGTACCAGATGGGATGAATCAGGTTGAAGTCATGTGTGAAATATTCATATTGTTGAGGTGCCCCCTTATCTCCAGTGTGTAATTTTTTTCTCTGATAGAAACTGCAAATAAAAGAGCAAATTTGCAACCTCTGAAGACACATAAATGCACCCCTCTCCAAAAGATACTGTTTATGTAAATAGGGAAAAAGCACATATTTGGCTTTTTTAAGCAAAATCTTTTGATGACATATATTTGAAATATGTTGTAAAACTCTTTTTGATACTCTTGCATTCTGCCCATTTAATACCAATTTTAAACTTACTTCAGCTGCTCCATCTCTCCTCCTCTTCTTTTGTTAAATGTCGTAAGTCTTGCCAAAACAAGGGTTTCACATCTCCTATATGTTGTTGGATCTGTCAGGTCTTCGCATGCCTCTATCTCCTGTTGTAGAAATTCTGAGAACTTCTTCAAATCATCTGATAAAGGGAGCTCTACTACCTTCTCATACTTTCTCTTTGCCATGGTATTTAAGGCTTCACATGATACCTTCTCTGCCCATTCAGCATTCTTCAAAGTCATGAAATTCTTTGCTTCTTGCTCCCTTTCTTTGCTTGATGTGGGATTATCATCATACATCCTCAATGCCATACATTTCTTTATCATTGCTGCCTTTGATATGACATTTCCTAACCTCAAAGCTAGTGACGGTGAGCTTTCTTTGCTTTCACCACTCCCTGCTGTAATTTGCACAGCCTCTATGAACCTGTCAAAGTTTTTGGGTTTTATAAACTGATCCAGTGTGGATTGCCCATTGTGATCAAGCATTCTGAGGTTTTGTAGCAACCTCCCTACTCTGCGCATCTCCTGACTAACATAGTGTTTCCTCTTTTGTGAATCTACTCCCGTGCACTTTCTCCCCTCACGGTTACCTAGTTGAATGATTAGTGGATCATTTTTCACAATCATAGTAATGTCATCATCTTTCATTGTTGCTAGCACTTCCTTAACATATGCTGATGCTCCTGACCCCTTGTCTAGCAGTAAATCGGATTCCAGCTTAATCTGTCCTGCAGATATTGTTGTCTCTTCACAATCCTTACCATGACAAAGATACTTTGTATGTTTCCATAGATCATTCCTCTTAAAGAATCCAAGACAATAAGGGCATGGACCATAATCTTCCTGATCAAAAATATCCTTATCCCCTGGCCTCCTCACTAGGATAAGTTCACCTTCAGAAGTGTTCAAGACTTTAATGTTGTGATAGTAGTTTCGCTTGTTACGTAGTAGTTCAAATTCGATTTGTCTCTCTTTTGAATTTCTGGGCAATGCTGCTATGTGGGCAACTTCTGTTTCGTCACAATGACACACTAGGAGATGCTTGGAAATTTTAGTCTTCAATTGACCGCAGTAGTAACATGCTTGATGCTTATTGTAAACTCTCTTCCCTTCTTTACTTCGCTTAACAGTCGGATAAAACACATCATTCCCGTCAACCGATTGGTGTTCATCCTCTGATGGGCAATAGTCCGCATCCATTTCCACAACAGTTGGGCTATCTTGTTCATACTCTGATGGGCAATAGTCCGCATCAGTTTCAACAACGGTTGGGCAATATTGTTCATCTTCAGGTGGAGTTTGGATTTTGTCATCAGTTTCAACATCAGTTGGGCAACATTGTTCTTCAGGTAGAGTTTGGACTTTGTCATCCGTTTCAACAACAGTTGGGCGATATTGTTCATCTTCAGGTGGAGTTTGGATTTTGTCATCAGTTTCAACAACAGTTGGGCAACATTGTTCATCTTCAGGTAGTGTTTGGACTTTGTCATCTGTTTCAACAACAGTTGGGCAATATTGTTCATATTCAGGTGGAGTTTGGATTTTGGCATCCGTTTCAACAGTTGGGCGATATTGTTTATCTTCAGGTGGAGTTTGGATTTTGTCATCCGTTTCAACAACAGTTGGGCAACATTGTTTATCTTCAGGTGGAGTTTGGACTTTGTCATCTGTTTCCACAACAGTTTGGCAATATTGTTCATCTTCAGGTGGAGTTTGGATTTTGCCATCCATTTCAACAACAGTTGGGCAATGTTGTTCATCTTCAGGTGGAGTTTGGATTTTGTCATCCATTTCAACAACAGTTGGGCAATATTGTTCATCTTCAGGTGGAGTTTGGATTTTGTCATCCATTTCAACAACAGTTGGGCAACATTGTTTATCTTCAGGTGGAGTTTGGACTTTGTCATCTGTTTCCACAACAGTTTGGCAATATTGTTCATCTTCAGGTGGAGTTTGGATTTTGCCATCCATTTCAACAACAGTTGGGCAATGTTGTTCATCTTCAGGTGGAGTTTGGATTTTGTCATCCATTTCAACAACAGTTGGGCAACATTGTTTATCTTCAGGTGGAGTTTGGACTTTGTCATCTGTTTCCACAACAGTTTGGCAATATTGTTCATCTTCAGGTGGAGTTTGGATTTTGCCATCCATTTCAACAACAGTTGGGCAATGTTGTTCATCTTCAGGTGGGGTCTGGATTTTGTCATCCATTTCAACAACAGTTGGGCAATATTGTTCATCTTCAGGTGGAGTTTGGACATTACACTGAGGTGCCTGCACCTGAAAGGAATACAAAGAATAACTATATAGATAACATGGATATCTTTGCAAAATTAGGCCCATGTCAATGTACCCCACAGAAAAAATCAAATAGATGCAACATTTAGACAATGGTATAGATCCAGGGTGTGTGTCAATGTACCCCACAGAACAATGCAATATTATGCCCCACAAGACAATGGTAAAGATCCGGGGTGTGTGTAAATGTACCCCACAAGACACTGGTATCGATCCAGGGTGTGTGTCAATGTACCCCACAGAACAAATATACGCCCCACAAGACAATGGTATAGATCCAGGTCGTGTGTCAATGTACCCCACAGAACAAATCAAATAGATGCTGCACAAGACAATGGTAAAGATCCGGGGTGTGTGTAAAAGTACCCCACAGAACAAATCAAATATATGCCCCACAAGACAATGGTATAGATCCGGGGTGTGTGTCAATGTACTCCACAGAACAAATCAAATATATGTAGATGCTCCACAAGACTATGGTATGGATCTAGGGTGTGTGACAATGTACCCAACAGAACAAATCAAATATATGCCCCACAAGACAATGGTACCCCATGAAACAAATCACATATATTCGCCATCCATGGAAGAAATGGTATATTTATATATGTGCTTGCTTTTTGGAGTGTTTTTTTTTCACAGATTTTGGTATAGCGATTTAGAAGTTCTCAATATTGTTCATCTTCAGGTGGAGTTTGGACATTACACTGAGGTGCCTGCACCTGGAAGGAATACAAAGAATAACTATAGATAACATGGATATCTTTGCAAAATTAGGCCCAGTTTCCAGTTCATGACACGTTTTTTAACATTCAGAAGGCTTTAATTTGATGCAAGGATGATGAGGAAAAATATTTTGAGTCTTGGCCCCAAAATTCCTGTAGAAATTATACAACAGACCAACCATAATGTAGGTCGATTGATAACATTTAGATTAGGGTATTAAAACCAGGGTAAAAAGGCCTGCTAAACTTACGTTCACTGCCAGTAAAAAATATAGGATAGATGTCAAATGAAATATATTCTTTACAAGTACAACTGTACAAAAACCAGATGCATGAACAAATACATTTCTTTGTAATGCTCTGCTTTATGATGTACCAGATTTTGAAATTATAAACTGCAGAGAGTCCAGAATATTGTGGCTATAGTAGCGAGTGCTAACAAATATGAAAGCGTCTCTGGGATCATGAGCAATCTTCACTGGCTGTCAATTTGCCAACAACTAGCTTTCAAAATAAATTTGCTTGATTACAAGTCTGAATGGAATGCACTTTCATACTTTGAAGATATCTTAATACCACCATACACTCCTAGCTGATGACTGCAGTCTTCATCACAGGACTTGCTCAAACAACCACCATTACAGCCGTGCACCAACTACATGTATGGACATCAATCTTTCTCTGTTGCGGCTTTTAAAGAATAGAACAGTTCACCGCAACATGTTCGCAGCACACCATCAAAGCATACCTATTTACTGGTACACTTAAGTCATTAAATGTAAGATATTTTAACTCTTTACCTGAATTTTCAATGACAGAGTTTTGTGACTATTGTATATTTAATGTACTCTTTTGTTTTATCTAAATTTGTAATGCACCCTCATACGTGCATGGTAACCTGTTCTTAATAAACATCATCATCATCATTCTGTTGCGCAGCATGCGACTACAAATTTTCTCCAATCACTTCGATCATTTCAGTAACGGATATATCGCATATTCATACTAAAGTTTGTCAATGAAAAAAAGAAACATTCCTGCCAAGTCATTTTCATAAAAATCCCTTCCATTAAAAAGTTACAGCCTTTTGTTTAAGGGGAGCTTATGTTGTATAAATTTATGTTCTGGACTCCATAATGTAGCACACCATACCCACCAGAATAATTCAATTGCAGGTCAAGCAAATGAAACTGAATACATTTAACAAAAAATGAATGACCGTGTCTCCTATATGCCCCCACCTAAATTTGATTGACGGCTCTAGCACCAAGTTTTAAAAAAAATACCTCAAATGGTTCTTGAGTTACCAAACACCTGAAATATGAATTTTCACCTCTGTGACCTTGACCTGTGACAAAGAACCTACATGTACCCAAATTCTAATCAGATCTTCCTTTTACTGAACTCTCTGACCTTTGACCTACATACCCCCAAATCTAATCGGATCATCTACATACATGTATACCATGTATGGTGATATATAACAGCACCCAGTTTGAAGTTCATACCTTAGAAAGTTAAAGATAAACTCCAGTACTGGTAAAAAAAAGAAAATTTATTCTCACAGAATCAAACGAAACTTACACTGAATGTTCAAGATTACAAATAAATGACATGTGCCAAACAATTTTAGAAGAAAATGTATACTGGCTGAGTAATGAGCATAGAACGACAAGGAATCAAGGTAGTACCAACCCCGACACCATGCGTGTTGTCCCATACATAGCTGTCTGTGTATGTGCTTGTTACTTTACCAAGACTCGGTCAAATTTATTATGATTTTGATGACTCCAGAACCTTGCAGTGCACACCAATACTTACATGCTACATGATCAACTGTTTCTGATCCTTTCCACACCTTTTCTTTCACAATGCAATCGCATTACCAGTACTAAAGTTTATCTTTAAGATATCGCTTTGGGTCTAACACCTGAATTGAAAACAAAATCACCTGTGAGTTTTGACCCCTTACCCAAAAGTCTGATTACATCATCTTTATATGATGATACATACATGTACTAGCACAAAGTTTAAGTTCATACCTCAAATGGTCCTGGAATTACAAGAGTAACACCTGAAAATAAAGTTTTACCTTGACTTTTGACCTACCTACATGTTCCCCAAAATCTAATCAGATCATCTTTCTATAATGATGATGCATACTAGCACTATCGCTTATTCATGTTATTTCTATTTCCATAAATACCATAATATATTTGACCTTGATCTTTGACCTTGTGATTGCAATATCTACTCAGATCATTGTCCCTCCAAGATGCATACACAAACCAAGTATGAAGCTGGTCCAACAAATGGTTCTCCAGATATAGCGAGAAAGACCCATTTTAATGTATTTTATTGAACTCTACAACCTTGAAAAACAACCTCATAACCAGAAAATCGTATCTGTTCTTTGTCCCAGCAATATGCTTACACAAGACAAATTGGAAGCTGATCCGTCAATCGGTTCTGAAGTTATGCCCAGAACAAGCCATTTCAATGTATTTTATTGAACTCTGCGACCTTGAATGTAAACCTCATAACCAAAAAATCAAATCTGTTCTTTGTCCCTGCAATATGCATACACAAGTTAAATCTGAAGCTGATCTGTCAATTAGTTCTGAAGTTATGGCCAAATCAAGCCATTTTAATGTATTTTATTGTACTCTGTGACCTTGAACGTTAACCTCATAACCCTAAAATCCATTCACTTCATCGTCCCTCTCATATGCAAACTCAAGCCAATTCTGCAGCTGATTAATCAATCTGTTCTGAATTTATTGCAAAAACGAGCCATTTTTATGTATTCTATTGTTCTCAATGACCTTGAAAATTGATCACATAACCCCAAAAACTAATCAGTTCATTGTCCTTCCCATATGCATGCTTGGGCCAATCCTGAAATTGATCCGTCAAACGGTTCTTAAGTTATCGCGAGAACGAAAACGGGACGGACGACCGGAAAACATAATGCCTCCGGCACCACCTACTGTGGGCGGAGGCATAATAAAACTGATCATATACAATAAAATGTTATTGACCCCCTTAAGTAACAACACAAAACACCCCACAGGAATGATTGAAATACAAGTAAAACAAACAAAACTTATTATATTTAAAAATGTTACGGACCCCTGTAAAGTAACACCACACAATACCCCACAGGAATAAGTGACAGGTTCAACAAATAAAACTGATTATATTCAATAAAATGTTACGGACCCCATAAAGTTACAACACACAATACCCCACAGGAATAACAGAATGGCAAGTAAAACATACAAAACTGATTATATTTAATGAAATGTTATAGACCCCATAAAGTAACAACACACAATACCCCACAGGAATGTTAAGTGACAGGTCAAACTAGATGAATCTTCGACCACGCGTGACCACGCGTGGTGGAAATGTATGCCTCCGCCATTGCCAGATCAGAAATGTATAGCTTATGCATGTTGATTATTTCTATTTCCATAAATACCATGATATATTTGACCTTGAACTTTGACCTTGTGATTGCAATATCTACTCAGATCATTGTCCCTCCAAGATGCATACACAAACCAAGTATGAAGCTGGTCCAACAAATGGTTCTCCAGATATAGTGAAAAGACCCATTTTAATGTATTTTATTGAACTCTGCAACCTTGAACATCAACCTTATAACCAGAAAATCGAATCTATTCTTTGTCCCTACAATATGCATACATGTACACAAGCCAAATCGGAAGCAGATCCGTCACTTGGTTCTGAAGTTATGCCCAGAACAAGCCATTTTAATGTATTTTATTGAACTCTGTGACCTTGAATGTAAACCTCATGACCAAAAAATCAAATATGTTCTTTGTCCCTGCAATATGCATACACAAGCCAAATCTGAAGCTGATCTGTCAATCAGTTCTGAATTTATGGCCAGATCAAGCCATTTTAATGTATTTTACTGTACTCTGTGATCTTGAACGTTAACCTCATACCCCTAAAATCCATTCACTTCATTGTCCCTCTCATATGCATACTCAAGCCAATTCTGAGGCTGATTCATCAAGCCGTTCTGAAGTTATTGCAAAAACAAACTATTTCTATGTATTTTATTGAACTCTGTGACCTTGAACGTGAACCTCATACCAAAAATCTAATCAGTTCATTGTCCGTCCCATATGCACACTTGAGCCAACTCTGAAGTTGCTCCGCCAATCGGTTCTTAAGTTATTGCGAGAACGAGCCATTTTTATGTATTTTATTGTTCTCAATGACCTTGAAAATTGATCACATAACCCCAAAAACTAATCAGTTCATTGTCCTTCCCATATGCATGCTTGGGCCAATTCTGAAATTGATCCGTCAAGCGGTTCTTAAGTTATCGCAAGAACGAAAACGGGACGGACGACCGGAAAACATAATGCCTCCGGCACCACCTACTCTGGGCGGAGGCATAATAAAACTGATCATATACAATAAAATGTTATTGACCTCCTTAAGTAACAACACACAACACCCCACAGGAATGATTGAATGACAAGTAAAACAAACAAAACTTATTATATTTAAAAATGTTACGGACCCCTGTAAAGTAACACCACACAATACCCCACAGGAATAAGTGACAGGTTCGACAAATTAAACTGATTATATTCAATAAAATGTTACGGACCCCATAAAGTTACAACACACAATACCCCACAGGAATAACAGAATGGCAAGTAAAACATACAAAACTGATTATATTCAATGAAATGTTATAGACCCCATAAAGTAACAACACACAATACCCCACAGGAATGTTAAGTGACAGGTCAAACTAGATGAATCTTCGACCATGCGTGACCACTCGTGGTCAAAATGTATGCCTCCGCCATTGCCAGATCAGAAATGTATAGCTTATGCATGTTGATTATTTCTATTTCCATAAATACCATGATATGTTTGACCTTGACCTTTGATTTTGTGATTCCAATATCTACTTAGATCATTGTCCCTCCAAGATGCATACACAAACCAAGTATGAAGCTGGTCCAACAAATGGTTCTCCAGATATGGCGAGAAAGACCCATTTTAATGTATTTTATTGAACTCTGCGACCTTGAAAAACAACCTCATAACCAGAAAATCAAATCTGTTCTTTGTCCCTGAAATATGCATATACAAGCCAAATCTGAAGCTGATCCGTCAATCGGTTCTGAAGTTATGCCCCGGACCAAGCCATTTTAATGAATTTTATTGAACTCTGCGACCTTGAATGTAAACCACATAACCCAAAAATCAAATCTGTTCTTTGTCCCTGCAATATGCATACACAAGCCAAATGTGAAGCTGATCCGTCAATCAGTTCTGAAGTTACATGTATGGCCAGATCAAGGCATTTTAATGTATTTTATTGAACTCTGTGACCTTGAATGTGAACCTCATACCCCTAAAATCTAATCAGTTCATTGCCCATCCCATATGCACACTTGAGCCAACTCTTAAGTTGCCCCGTCAAGCGGTTCTTAAGTTATCGCGAGAATGAAAAGGGGACGGACGACCGGAAAACATATTATGCCTCCGGCACCACCTACTCTGGGCGGAGGCATAATAAAACTGATCATATACAATAAAATGTTATTGACCTCCTTAAGTAACAACACACAACACCCCACAGGAATGATTGAATGACAAGTAAAACAAACAAAACTTATTATATTTAAAAATGTTACGGACCCCTGTAAAGTAATACCCCACAGGAATAAGTGACAGGTTCAACAAATAAAACTGATTATATTCAATGAAATGTTACGGACCCCATAAAGTAACAATACACAATACCCCACAGGAATAACAGAATAGCAAGTAAAACAGACAAAACTGATTATATTTAATAATGAGATGTTATGGACCCCATAAGGTAACAACACACAATACCCCATGGGAATGATTGAATAACAGGTAAACAAAAACAAAAAAACAACAACAACAAAAAAAATAACCCTAAAATCCATTCACTTCATTGTCCCTCCCATATGCATACTCAAGCCAATTCTGAAGCTGATTCATCAAGCCGTTGTAGGAACGAGCCATTTTTATGTAAGCTGGTCCAACAAATGGTTCTCCAGATATAGCGAAAAAGACCCATTTTAACGTATTTTATTGAACTCTGCGACCTTGAACATCAACCTCATAACCAGAAAATCGATCTGTTCTTTGTCCCTGCAATGTGCATACACAAGACAAATCGGAAGCTGATCCGTCACTTGGTTCTGAAGTTATGCCCCGGACCAAGCCATTTTAATGTATTTTATTTAACTCTGCAACCTTGAATGTAAACCTCAAACCCAAAAATCAAATCTGTTCTTTGTCCCTGCAATATGCATACACAAGCCAAATCTGAAGCTGATCTGTCAATCAGTTCTGAAGTTATGGCCAGATCAAGCCATTTTAATGTATTTTATTGAACTCTGTTAACTTGAACGTGAACCTCATTATTTTGAAAACAGGAAAGGACACCAAACCATATATATTTTGAAAGAATAAAGGTCAGAAATTATTGTGATAAAATTTTTGGAATGAAAACTCATTCGATTTGTTGCCATAGTATCCAAATAAACTGAAAATCAACTTTTACAAATTATGGATTTGTAAAAGATGTGAAATTGAGAGATAAATATGTGAAGTTATGGGGTTGGTATTATTTTAATAAGACTGCCCACATTGTCAGCTTAACATATAGACATGCACAAAATCACAGATATATACGTCGATCCTTACTTATTAAAGTTATGATTATACATATGAAAAACGGTGCGCGAAATGGGGCACTTAGTAGACTTTTTTGGGGGGGGTTGGGTTATTTCACTGTGCTGTTCTTCTGTGATCATAAAGACTATGAATCTGAAAAATGTGTAATAATATTAAGTGGGTTATGATTTGTATATATGTAATTTTTATGAAAATTATGGTTACCATGGTAACACATCAACATGTAAACAGTAGGACCTATACCACATGATTTCCATGTATACATTCATGTATACATAATGCATGTACATTCTATTCTCCTTTTCACCCAAAATTTAAAAATAAACAAACAATACTTTTTTCTAATCAAAATACCAATCGAAATAATGGAAATTTTCTCTACTTCCCATTGATACCAATTTCCAAAAGATTCTATGTTGTTAAAAATATCTATCAAGTGTCAAATGATGATGTGCTCCCACATCCCGGAACTGTGCCTGCAGGCATGGTTGGTGGTTAAACGCTTAAAGTAACATCACACAATACCCCACAGGAATGGTTACATGACAGCTACATCAAAGAAACGTCAAACATAAAATGAGTATACTTTAAATAGTAAAATGTTTTGAATCCCAATAAAGTAACCACTCACAGGAATCATTGAAGAAGGTCATCAGGGTGACCAAATAAAAATGAATAAGGAGCTCTATCATTTTGGCTAGTACATGTACAGTGCATAAGAGCATCAATGTGGATAAGGATGAAAGTAGCTATGTACACATGCATGTAGATCCAGCCATCTGATGTGAAGAAAAACAAATCCTCAAACAATACATTTGTCAAGTCATCATTTGAATGATGCACCCTCTGACCCCCCGGAACGATGCGTCATGGTATGGGTCATTTACCATCCATTTAGTGACCCAGGGTATGGTCATTTGTTCATTTTGTGTGTCACAACATAACCCAAGGGGTGCGTCAATGTCAGGCACTTTACCCGGGTGCCTCATTCTGTTCAGGCCTTTACCTGTGATTTTGTTCTCAGGAAAACTCCTGTGGAAACTTCACCTTAAATATCGCAGGCTACGAAATTGGCAATGGCACAGACATTGATTCAACATGTTCAAACACCATGATTAGAACATTGAGGTGAAACAGATCGTCGCCCTGATCATCATGATATTGGCAAAACTTCAGTTGGAGACTATACATGTCTTTGTTCTCAATATTTTTACTCTGTCATTTACATTTTACATGACCTGTTCATTTTCAGAATATTTGCGCAAAATCTTAATAGCGCATTTTTTAAATGAAAATTTCATTTTTTTACATAAAATTTGACTCAATGTCATGAAAGTAGATGATTGACAATTCCAGTGGCACCCCTGCCCAAATCTTATTCGAGTAACCCTTCTGTTTTGTTTGTTTGGTTGTTTGTTTGTTTGTTTTTTACTACAGAAGCGATCCTCATTTTTAATGCACATTTCGATATTGCATGAGCCTGAGCAGTTAGCTGCACTAAAGGTGCACAAGCGTCATGAGGACAGTCAAAGTTCATAAATGATGCATGATAATGGCATAATTCTGGTAAGAGGGATTGTCACTGTTGGCATATATGACAAAGGGGTGCATCATTGTATAGATAAATCCGCCGCATTTTTGGACAAGTGACGAAGTGACGCACCATTCCAGGGGGTCAGAGGGTGCGCCATTCAAAAGACAGTTCTATAATACACTTACCGGGACACAATACAGAGCATGAATCTCAAATTGCTCCAACGTTGCATAAACTTGAGAACAAGTTGAACAATTGTGAACCTTGACAAAAACAAAAAATAGTATGACAGTATTACAAATCAAAGTGTTGCCATGTAATCCCCCCCCCCCCAAAAAAAACCCATTCTATTTTGCATAATGAAGTAGTGTTGGGTTATAAAATGATGTCCCCCCCCCCCCCCCCCCCCCCATGGCCGGAGTTTTTAAGTTATCAGCAACTCATTTTTGTTGATTTCGACAAAAAAGGTATAAAAATGCATGGGAGATCCTTCCGCATCAAACTGGGGAATCCCTTAATGAATTTGAAACATGTCCATTTTTTTGATCCCTTGTATTAAGCCCACCGCTATTATTATTATTGTATATATTTCAACAAACATGACATTATGTCAGAATGCTTTCAATATTCTTTTTTAAACCAAAGCTGTGATTTTAAGTATTACAAAGGACAAGGTACTAAAACAATTTATCAGGTATGTGTGATGCTGAGTATCAAATCAAACACAGGGTTGAGTATTTTCAAGCGCAATATTCAATAAAATGTAAGATTTCAAATATCCTTAAAACAAAAACAAGAAATAATTGTTCTAACAGTTGTATTTTGGTTTATAACTACTGTATTTGTGTACATAAAGAATTCCATGTTTTGACTATGTCACAACATAAATTTTGCTGTACAGTACCTGTTTTCGCCAAGGAAGGTCATCAACTCCGTAGTTGTATCGTAATTCCTCTCCTGCTTTCACATCTTCCAAAGCAAACAAGCAAAGGTGTACCGTAGTGTCCCTAACCACTTTCTTTACTACTGCATTCGGATGTCTCCACTCATCATTTATGTACCTAGCCAACCCAGAATCTGGATCCCAGGCATCTATCCTGTAAATTAATTGACATTTTGTTTTCAATTGTTTGGATGTACTGTACTAGTATCAGTTTTGTGAAGGATCAGTGGAAAGCTATACTGTTCAAAGATATTTTTTTAATGATTCAAAAATTCCAAGTAAAGTCTGAGATTAAGGAAATCACAATAAATAGAACCATTCAAAACGCACATGAAATCTGTGACAAAGCCCATACAGCCTATATCATAAATCAATGATCTCAATACCACATCTTAACGGGACTTTCATAGCAACTAACTTTAACCCCTCATGCTGATGTTTGTTTTATCTTAAAAATTATGATTACTCTAAATACAACATGGGTCAGTAGACTGAGATTACAAGTTAACATAATCACAAGCATGTATGTTCACGACATGGCTAAAAAATGGGGAATTTGACAATCTCAATTCCGGACAATTTAAATTTTTTAGAGAAATATATTGCACTTGGAAGGATATTTGGCTTTTACATTGTACTTGCTCAAAATATATGCATCAATCATGGGCAATCTGCTTCCTTCCTGGGATATAATTTTTTTATTCTAGTACGTACTGCTGGATGCAGTGCTTCAATAATTGATGTGAGCTGTGTTGTATCCCATCCTATGATATACATTTAGGTGTAGTACATTTCGCATTTGGTGTTACATAATTTGCTTCATTCTAGATACCTGTATGTCTTTCCCATATAGTCATAATAAAAGACATAGGGCTCCGGTTCACGTGTCCCCTCATCGTTATGATCATCAACACAACTCCTAATGCCACGGTACTCAAGAAGGAAATCCCCTTTTGAAAAACTTCTTGTGGCAAACAGTCCATATCCTGTATTGAGGGAAATAAAATTAATTGTGGTGATATGAAGCAGCATTTGCGCACTCTGTCATACAGTTCATGACTTTGTATATTTGTAATGGTTGCAGTTCATAAATAGGTCAGCCTAAATTATGGTAGAATTATTACACTTGGCGTATTCTCTTTCAAGTACTATTTTTAAACAAGTGCGTTATTTTGTGTCTAACTTTATCATCTTAAAGATGCAAAAAGTTCCATTAAAATGATAACTCCTTGGTCTATGTATCTTTGAAGCTTCAAAAACCAAAACGTATGCATGATAGAGATGTCATATTACACACAAATACAGGAAACCTGTGGAGCTTTAAAATAGAGGACAAAGTGTATCAAAGAAAGCAGGGAATAATTTTCTTGGTATTGCATCGCAATTTGCTGTGCATTTTTGCAAGACTGCTACACAAAATTTCTTTTCCATAGGCCTGTACAAAATATGCTGAAAATATTTTCCTATATCAACAAAAATGGCTAATCAAATTTTAGAATCAAAATTATTCCCTGGAAAGTAATTAATCAATTGATGAAAATAATAAGGATAATTTTCCCTATACATTACTCTAAGAAACAAGGTATGTAATATATCCAGGAAAAATCCATTGCTGATAAAATGCTCTAAAAATAATGGATTGTTTCCTGTGCATTTTAACCATATTGAAATTGGCCACCGAATATATTATTTCATGAAAGCCCATCATTATGTGGCTTTGATTAAATACTTTGATGAGGACAGTGTGAAATTGATCATCCATGCATGCGTTATCAGCAAGCTGGACTACTGTAATGGGTTGTTGTATGGGCTCCCTGCTTCTCAGATTGGGCGTATGCAGCGAGTACAAAATTCATGTGCAAGATTGATCTGTAGTAAACCCAGATTCACAAGGATCACCCCTCTTTTAAGAGATCTGCATCAATTGGCTTCCAATTAAAAAAAGAATATCATTTAAGATCTTGTTGTCATACAAGGCACTTATTGGTCAAGCCCCTAGCTACATTGCAGAGCTCTTACCACATAAATCCCACAGACATACCCACAACCTGTGCAGTGCTAAAGATACTTTGCTTCTTCAAATCCCCAGAGGTAAAACACAGGTAACATTAGGAGATTGAGCATGTGCAGCCTGTGCAGCCCCCAAACTGTGGAATAATTTGCCTCTAGAAATAAGAACTTTCCCTGGTTCCCCATCAACAGCAACTTTCAAACTTAGGCTCAAGACATATTTGTTTAACTTTCAAGCAAATGAGAAGCTCTATCAGCGCAGAAGAATATATGTATATACATGTAGGTTCGGCGCTTTATGTGTCATTCAAGTAATATTTGTTTTATCCAGTATACATCTTTCTTAAAAATATCATTGTGCCAAGTTGGGTTACTAAAATGTACATTTTTTTTCAATGTTACACCCCATATACTTTTGAGACACAGTGTATTTTTTAAGAGTATTATAATTAAGCTTTCCAGCGATATACAATGTTCTGGGTGTACTGTACACATTAAAAATTCTACTCTGATCTGATGATTTGGAATTGGTGTATTTTTCTAATTTTTGTAAAGTGTAATAAATTTTCTGACCTACATGTATTTATAAACTGTGATCTAATGTATAAACTCCACAGGGGAGTAAATTAAGAATTTGCAGTCAGTATCAATTCAACACCCAGGTGATATTGCAGAACATGGCCAAATAATGTAGGTACAGCCAACTCTCCCTCTCTCTCTCACTACATAAACACTGAAACCATTGATCACCAGCGTAGTGCAAAGTATTAAATGCAGCTCATTATTAATGTTATATATATATTTTTTACAGGCATCAAAGATGTTTTGCCAAAAAGATGAAAGGGTATAAGTGGATTCCCACCTGCTGCTCATGGGCCACCACTTTTCACAAATACCATTCACTCAATAATTGGTCCTAGCAGGTTATAACATCACTTACCAATAACGTCATTTATATGCCTCTTTTCAAAGCCATTAGGGTCAGTTCCTTGCTCACAGTACTCCCGTGCTAAGTCCTCTGGCCTTTTCCGCCTTTTCTGTTATTGGTATTAACAATATACATGATAAGTATATTTGGACACTTCAGTTCCACATGCAATACACAAGTGAAGCCAGGTACAAAATGATTGCGTGCCAAATATTTCCTGTAAAAGAACTCCATGAGTCCTCAGTCTGGGCCAAATTCATAAAAGTTAATCAATTTTAAAGCTGAAATCAACTTTAACCCTGGAATGTTGTATATGTTTTAAGTTGATCCTAGAAATTCACATCCTAGTAAATTTTTAGTGACCATGCAAACAACAGCAACAACAAAAATGAAAGTTTTACAAACTTGTACTAATCCTCATACATCTGAATAAAGATAAAATTGATCTGGAATATAAAATTAACTTGAAAGTTTTATGAAATTGGCCGCAGGCCTATTATCTAGTCTACGGGGAAGAAAATGAAATGAAACAACTAACCAATGTCAGACCTTTTTGAAATTTTGGAGAATTTTTTTTTTTTTTACTAACATCCTTCCGAGCTAGAAACATGGACACTCGAGAAATGTAATTAAAACTGATTGCTAGTGTTTGAAATAGCCTGCCTCTGCAAGATACTGGGGGTTACAAGACTAGAGAAAATAAGCAACCAACATATTCAGGAATCACTTGACCAGCAGAGCACTTATGGATATACAACATGGTATCACTGTAAAACAGAAGCCATTACACAGCATGCTAGTGTGGATGGTGTACCTTGCAGCGTTTCATAGCTTCTTTTTCACTGTAATTCTTTTATTGCCACAGCCTCTCCATCCTCCAACTGAGATTTGTCCCGATATTTCTTTTTAAAATCATGTTTTTTAAACCTAATTTTCCTTCTAAATTGCTTCCTTTTACGCAACCATCTACACCAGGAAACTCATTTTATGCTGAAAACAAAGTCCAAGTTTGCTATTTTTGTTGAAGAGGGGTACTTTTGGCTGCTGCATACAATTTTACGAGTCCCTCTCCCTCAGACTTCATCCCCTTCGAAAAAACCCTCCCCAACTCTACTGCTGACGAGAACATAACAAATCCTCCCCCACAGGAAAAAAAAAACTGTTTCTGTTTTTTTTTTTTTTTACTTTAAGCAACTTTGCTTTAGAGTCTTGAATCCAATTTCAACTATCCAATTATTTTACTTTATATCATTATAATTGTCTTTTTATTTATTTCACTATTTACCAATAGCATTTCAAAAAATGCATATTTCCCAACATCACCTTGATTTGCTCAATCACTATTTCATACTAATGAGTTGAATAACAAAGCTTAAAAAAAGGTTACTTGCAGAGATGAAAATTTTCTTTAAAAATACGCTGAAAAACACACAATTCATCATGCACTCAATGACGTACTGGCAAAATTTCTCTTACAGAATTAACCTAATGCTTCACTCATATCATACTTTGAAGTTTGTAAAAGCTTATATACTTACATTTGGCATTTTTCCAGCATTCAGTATCTCTATAGCTGGAAGAAAAAATAATAATTGTGGAAAAATCTGTATAAAAATGAACTCAAATACAATATCATTTCAGGGACTGTTGTTTGAGAAGAGCAAGAACATTATTGTTCTTCTTTAAAGGAGCTTGGTCTTATACTTTTTCATCCTTTCTGAGATTTTGAAACCAGAATATTTCTATTTTCCCCATGACCCAATTTTACTGGTGAAACATGTTTCGTTTTAAGATGGTAACCATAATTAAATTTACACAGTAAAGTATAGGCAACAGTGAAATACAAAATTGTTCATAAATCAAAACAGGTACATGGACCAATTCAACTGAAATTTGAAAATGAAACTTCTTCAGTGGTAATCTATCATATCAAACTTCAAACTAAATTTTGAAAAATTGGACCATATGCTCCTTTAAAGGGTCATTGGACACCTGCAACATCACCATTTTGGGGTCAACATCTTCATTTATTGGATGTGCTATCTATATGCTAATTTTACTTCCATCTACAATTCCTTTCCAGAGAAATGTCAACTTCTCTTTCCTTTTCTATTTATCAGAGTTAACAACAATCAAAGGTTTTTGATTTCTGCACCACCTGTTGTAATATGTAACCATAATGAGTTGACATGACCAGTTATGTAGGGCAGTTAGAGCTTTCAACAACAAACTACAAATTATCGATACCAGCCCTACCTCATAGTTTTGCCAAATTTCAGGGAAAAAAATCTTGGCCCCTTTCCCATATTCTCTGGACAGACTTGCAGGGAAGGATATATAGCTGTGTATCATAAACAAGTAGACCAAGCAGCACAATGGCGCAAATAAAAGCGGCAGTTTTGAAGTTTTAAAAGCAAATAGAGTACGTTATTGATCATTTTTTGTACACAATCACGAAAATGACAAAAAAGTGTGCTCAAAGTATTTCTCTGCCATCCTAAAATTTGCTTGTCACCTATTTGTATTATTATTTCAACTTATCATAATTATAATGTAGATCTAGGCTTATTTTGTATGTTACATCATACAATGACATGTAAACTAAACAAAGTTAATTTCCATTGATTAAATGGAAGATTCATGAAACTACTCACTTTAGAATTTGTTGCATAGAATACATCATATGTGCCCAGCCATGATGGTGTTGGTGAAAGCTTGATCCAATAAACAATTTCATTTACATTTGTGTAAATGAAAATCATGTCTACATTGTCATTAAGGACATTTTTCATTGTCCTGATGATATAACTGTTCATTTCTGCAAATGATCGGATAAGTTGATATATATAGGGGCTGCTTGTGAAGATTACTGCTCTGGGGTAAAGCCCCATGTTTCGGAGTTGGACCCACTCCCGGAGATCCATTATAATGAATCTCAACAAAAAAGTGTAGAGTCTACAATGAAGTAGACCTACAAGGATGAAGACTTCAAATTAAAAAAAAAAGACTTAGGTCTAGATCTAGGCCTATGAGTGGTTAAAAGTACAACAGACTCTTCTCAGACTCTAGTTAAAATGACGATTACTTGACTAAACCTTCATTCAAGGCAATTATCCCTACTATAATGTTAGATCTATGTCATTAGAGTCTAATGCGAGTTCAACTTTGCAAGGTCAAGTCGAATGTTACGTGCTAGCCTAAGTTAGCCCATAATTTACGCTTGGGCTGCTGCTATTGCCTTTTGCTGTAAAGTGCATATCACAAGTCATATTTGATTACGTGGGAAACTTACCTTGTATCACTCGTCACGGAATACCTCAGTGAAAATTCTGCGGGGACCAAGAAACTCCGAAATAAGAAATGATTCAGACACATAGATTTACACGCCGATCGCACCTCGAAATCAGCAGCAAAAGACTGTTCATGTGGTCCTAGCCTACAATACACATATCATTGGCCTAGCTTACCCGTGCTATCGCTAGCGCTAAACTAGCGCGGCGCGGCGCCGCGCGCGCTCGCGATCGCGGGAAAATACCGGTATCCGCCAGTACGGTACTTGTATCCGATCCCCCATAGGGTAGGAATGCAGGACGCTTTGTTGTTGTTGTTGTAGTTGCTTAATGGCGCATGTTCAATCAACATCGATTTTCTGCGCCAAATCAGTTTATCTAGTTTGTTTGTGACTTTTCAGTTTTTTTTTCCTCTCTATTCGCTGATTGGTTGTGTGTCCCTCAGGTTCGTTCGATGCTGGTTTTCCAGCCTGTCCAGTTTACCTGTAGTATGGCAACGTGATATTAATAATAATGTCAGTTTACCACCACCATTAGCTTGTGCAATGAAATTAAATATACAAAGTCTGTTCATTACTTGGGCATAGAACTATACAATTATAAGTATAATAAAAATTATAATTGTGAATATTCCACAATTCTGTTTACTGAAATATGTTTACAAATACATGCTATACGTAGGATATACATTATGAGGGAAAAGGAACAAAGGAAACTAAGAAAAGAGAAACAGTATTAATTTTTACTTACAATTTGAGAATAGACAAGTTAATAAAGACGTTTTGTATCCTTAATATATCTCATTAACGATCTAAAATTGTCTTTTGAACTTTCGTTCATAATATTACTGACATTGACATTTTGTATCTTTAGACTATTTTTCATGATAGCTCTTTCTCTGTTATATTTTGTACAATTTGACAAATAATGTTTTATTGTCTCTGGTACATTACATATGTCACACATACCATTTTCATGTTGTTTTATGATGTATAAGTAGAAATTCAACCTACACTTTCCTAACCTAATTTGATGCAATAATATCATTTCCTTTCTACTGTATCCTTGTAACTTTATATGTTTCCCGACGTTTTCCTGAATATGGAATAGATCCCTTCCTTTATCTGATATTTCCCATTCATATTGCCAAATTTCTTTGTAATGTGATTTCATATGATTTGTTAGTTCTTCTTTTGTGCTTGGTACTCTTACATCAATACTTTCCTTTAATGAGCCTTCTTTTGCAAGTTTATCTACTATTTCATTTCCACCTATCCCTCTGTGAGATGGAACCCATTCGAAATGTATTTCTTTATCCTGTGATTGTAATTTGTTTAACATGTATCGTACTTCTAAGTTCTATTACCAAGTTTGACCCTGTGTGGTTATCTTCTAGTGCTTGCAATGCAGATAATGAGTCTGTTAAAATAACAGTAGATGTGCATGGAAAGTTATCTATCCATTCTAAAGCGAGTAAAATTGCCACTAATTCTGCTCTCATAATACAAATCGTTGATAATCTATAAAATTTACGTATATTGATATCAGCGATGTAAAAAGCTGCACCTGTACTTTTCTCACCATCATCTTGTTTAGAGCCATCTGTATAAATTTTTAGATATCCATTCCATTTTGTCGCAATTCTTTCTAACACACAATTTCTAATTTTATATTCTGAATCTTTCACTTTATTAATCTTAAAATATACATAATATGAAATATTTGGACATTTATAATGCCAAAAAGGCTTAATTGTAGTACAGAGACTAATTTTCTCCATTTTGCAGTCTGTCGTTATGGCCCTTTTAAAAAATGGTCCTTGGCCCGGTTTCCATTCAAAATGGTCATAATACCAACTTGGGGTGATAATTTCCACTGTTGAGTGGTCTTGGATGTCCCATGACAATAAATAGAAATTGTATTTATCTACAAATGCTTGTCTGCGGAATTTTAAAGGCATTTCTCCACATTCTACTTGTAAGGCTTCAAGGGCTGTAGTGTGGCATGCTCCTGTAACTATTTTTAACGCCTGATATTGTATGGAGTCTAATTGTGATTTTGTGGTCGGGCATGCTGCATCATATAGCTCACATCCATCAGTGGCGGATCCAGGGGGGGGGGGGGGGAGGCACAGGGGGCATGTGCCCCCCCCCGGCCAACAAAAATGTGTTAAAATCAGCCCTAAATTCGCCCAAAATATACCGAAAAAAAGGGGCGTGCCCCCCCGGCTAAACTTTTTTTTTTTTTTTTTTTTTTTTTTTTTTTTTTATAAAAAAAAATAAAAAAAAAAAAAAAAATTGCCAATGGCTGACCTAAAATGGTGACCTTACCCCCCCCCCTCCAACGAAGCAAAATGTCAAATTAAAAAATTTCGTGACCCCCCCCCCCCCCCCCCCCCCCCCCCCAAAAAAAAAAGTGTCCTCTTAGTGGCCGGCTAAGTCGTTGCGATTTTTTTGGGACTAAACATTTTTTTAAAAGTGTCCGCTTACCCCCCCCCCCCCCCCCCCCCCCCCCCCGCTTATTCAGCGGCTGGCTGAGTCGTTGCGATTTTTTCGGGACTAAAAAAAATATATATATAATGTTCTCTTTCCCACACGGTGCCCCCCCGTGTGCCCCCCCGGTAAGAAATTCCTGGATCCGCGCCTGTCCATAGTCCATGATGGAAAGGATGAGCCCTTTATAAACCAACAGTAAAATTTCTTGGTTACTTTCCCAAACAGTGCCTGATATACATCTAAGCAAGTTCAATCGTTTTTTACATTTTTCTTTTACTATGCTTATATGTTTGTTCCATGTCATTTTGTGACAGCGACGATCGTATCAGCTCGTCAACAGATGGGGCTATTCTATTTCAGTAATAACAACCCGGCGGTGTGCTTACGATGTTACCATAAAAGTCGTGTGCAAGTTTTAGCACACGCTCACAAAGAGTCATTTATGGGGTACCACTTCTAATGCCCCGCAGGGCATAGGACACCGAATATACAGTCATTTGAAAGACTTTACTCTGTGGGGTCCTGAAAAAATACCCCACAAAGTAAAAGTGCCTCACAAGGGGTATGTGAAGCGCACATAAAACCCCACAAGAATGCTGAGGCGCGCGCACACACGCACACACACACACACTATCTCAATCTCTCTCTCTCTCTCTCTATCTCTCTCTCTCTCTCTCTTTGCCTTCTCTCTCACCGCCTTCCTCCCTTCCCCAGTCATTTTCACTTTGTTTTTCTGTCCCCTTTCTGTCTCTATGCCTACTTCTCTATATCTATATCTGTCCTGCTACCCCTCTCTCTCTCTCTTTCTCTCTCTCTCTATTTATATATATATATCTCTTTCTGCATGTCTTCTATCTCTCAGCCTTCCTCCCCCCCCTAGTCACTTTTACTTTGTTTTTCTGTCTACTTTCTGTCTCTTTGCCTACTTCTTTCCTCTCTATATCTGTCCTGCTACCATCTCTCTCTCTCTCTCTCTCTCTCTCTCCCTCTCTCTGTCTCTTTCTCTCTCTATTTATATCTCTTTCTCTTTCTGCATGCCTTCTATCTCTTAGCCTTCCTCCCCCTCCCAGTTATTTTCACGTTATTAACGCCCGTTGACACGTATTTTATCAGATATGAGATGGTATTTGACATCTAATAAACTCGTTCAAAGTACTGATTATCAAGGGATAACATTCCAAGATAAGAATTATTAAGAGGGTCAAAGTAATATCATAATTATAATGTGGAATCTTCTTTTTAGAAACAATCGAAGCATATACGATTATGTTAATGGCTTATTAAACGAAACGATACTCATGGTGGGTGTACCCTGTCGAAAGATTAGAAAGAAAAAAAAACACGTCTTCACTAGGTCTATCATATTAGTATGATCCCTGATGATAAAAACGCTAAAATTTCCCGATGAATTTATAGTCATATCATTTATTATCAGGAGTATCATACATGGAAAAACAATTTGATTGGAAGAATTTAATTTCTACATGTATCAAACACCCTAAAATCCGATTATTCTAAAATAAATGTTATTTTTTTTACACACTACATTACATTTTCCTAAAAAGGCAGTAAAGCCCGACAATTACTTTTTAATTTAATGTGGGTACCAACATAACAAAGCCCACCCCTTCCCGTCCTATCGAATATGTTCTACACATCTAGCATTTCATAAATTTTATCATGCTTAACTTTGATTTTAAATTCATGACCTTCCATACCATATACATACTTAATGCCAATGATATAAAGATCTGGTACAAAACTCTTAAAAAAAAAAGAAGAAGATATTCTACACTTCCAAGACCAATACATCAAAAATAATCGATCTACGCATTTTAAAGACAGGGATGGTTAGCCATATTCTGAACCTCGACCGCAGTGAGCACTCGGTCATAGATCTTGACCTCGTCAATCAAGCCATAGAAATACTCTTCACTATTCCCTGTACCTGCTTGACCGACAGTGACCGGTGTATTGCGTGTTAGAATAGGACCAGTGCAACAAATGTGATTGGTCGCTGTCTGCTGCTGACCATTGAGGTAGTAGAGCAGGGTAGACCCGTCATAGGTCATGATCACGTGGTTCCAGGTGTTCTGCAAAGCGACAAGATTTACGTAGTCCCAGGTACCCGTATCGGTTGAATAGGCACTACCGCCCAACATCTGACCGCTGTTCTGATGACCCATTCTGATCTCCCAGCTCCCTCTATTGGAATACCCATTATTGACGATGCCCTGGTAGTTCCCCCACTCACCGGTGCGCTTAAACCATATACTAACACTGAACTCCATGCCCCAGGCGAAGTTGGCAAACGGTTCCGTCGCGGTTGTTACCGGAGCTGTCAGTAACGTCTCCCTCAAACGGGTAGTAAGCTGGAAGAAAAGCAGGGAAAAAATACTAAGGCATCACAGCATGACAAGACAAAATATTCAACGAGCAACTAAAGGAAAAATCTTATCTTCAAGTTTTGGGACAGTCACAAATATTTTGAATTTACGAGAGTACTTGCCGACAAGCAAAAGAAAAAGGCATAGAAAGCACTTTTTATAGATATCTACATCTCTCAAAGCTGCTTTCATATTTTGATCCTCTGACTTCAGTTCTCTGGTGACTATTGCTGTGGTCTTTATTATATCGAATAAATTATGTTAGGGTTAGAGTGGCAATCGGGTTTAAGGTGAGGTTTACAGTTGTACTAGGTTGAGGACTTAATCCTTTGGAATTCGGCTAGTTTATACAA